CCGGGTCACCGTAAGGGGTAAAAGAATCAGAGGTCATGGGGCTTCCCCTGATCTAGATTCTTATCTTCAGTCACCGGCAGAATCGCTTGATTAATGCTACAGTTCAAAATAGTCATTTTGACTGGCCGGAGTCTATGGTGGGTATAAACTATGTGAATAGGCGGGTTCGGAGAACCCTCGCTTAAATTCGGGCCCTGTTTAACTCCGGTGATAGAGGGACTGTGCTCTGGGATTACGTCGAAACGCCACTCTCTTGACTGAAGATCTGTGTTGAAAAATAATCCTTTGTTGTTGCATGTTTTTTAACATCACTTCATCTATTAACAATTCACCCCTAGACGTGATAATTTCATAGTAAAAATCCGTTCTCAAAAATCCAAATAATAACAACTTCATCGAAATTCATTTTCTATTCTTACCACAAGCCACACCTAGATCATTCATCAAAACGAGTTGTCTGGTATATACTAGTACTCTGACCCATGCCGAGGACTTGTTTGTCATGCTATATGATGAATCAGACTAACTATCACGTGAAACCAAATGAAAATCATTCTAAAATAACGTACTTATACCCATTGACCAGGGAGAATGAAATGACATTTGCAATAATAATCAACGAGCAGGTCCGGGTTATAACGTTCGGTTGACGAAATAGACGATACAACAGTACTGATTGGACCTACATGAATGCTAATCAATTTCACATAACCAAATGTTGTTTTTTGCTGTCGTACATTATCTTCGGTAATAACTCCGAAAGTGGAGTTTCATATCTTCAACAGAACGTAGCTGTTAAATCTTACGAGTCTGTTTCGATCGATCACCACTTAAGCAGCATACAATTTTTTTTGTTTTGGCTCATTTAAAAAATACGAACGGTGTCAATATTCAAAACTACATTTTTTCTGTCTCTGGCGTGCTTCAGAATGATAGATCTTGGTCGATGGTATTTTTACAAAGGACGTGAATGTACAGCACTAATTTCACCCAACTTCCTGATCGCTTCTGCTTTCGACCATTTTTTTTCTCGTGATTTTGCAACCACTTGTTGAATAACTTCCGCTTTATTTTTCGGCCGCACAAACCCAGAAATATCGTCCGAACGATACAAGGTACCGGTATGATGGATTGTCATTCTAAATTAAATAATAGTTATTAATACTTGTTGAATCCTCAACTTTTAGCACTAAAACAACCATATCAACAACTCGTGTGCCAGTGATCAGTGTTTGGACAAGCGAACAGTGTTTTTAATAAGTGAGTGAGAAAAGAAAGTGATAAAAATATGGTCGTTTTCCGGTCAAAAATTAAGCGATATGCGGTTGATTAGATGCCATTTATAGATTGACATGCATGACCAAATGAGAACATGGTAGGAGTTGGTAGTACATGTACTAGTTTACGCAGGGAGGGAGTCCAGAGAGGGAACAGTCAGCATCCCTTTTACAGGGAAAACGTTAAATCTCGACGGATTTGTTTTGTTCTCGCATGTAATATTATGTTTTGAGGGCTTCTGAGTTTAAAAAAGATGACTAAATCAACTAAAAAGTATGCGCTCAGAGACATACCTATGCAGACGTTGGGTTGCCAGTACTTAATCCATTTTAACACCTAGACTACTCTATTGACATTGGCTGTTTATTTCATGGATTTGGCACTTGAGGTGGCTGATAAGCCGTTTTGAAAACGTGCGCAAATGACCATTTTCATATGATTTTAGAACATTTCTAAGATGTGAAAGATAAACACTGTGTAAATGTATGTCATTAAATACCAGCCCTCAGAGCTAATTTTTTTTTCTTAGTTGCCATTGGCAACAAACTTCAATTTGTTAGTGGCCAGCTGATAACTATAGTAGCCAAGTACAAAATTGCCAGAATTTTTTTTACAAATACATAATAAACTACAGAAAAACAGAAATTTGTTTGTTTTTTAGATATTTATTTAGGCATAGATGTTATAACTTATTATATGTACAAACAGTAATCCTTGCGACCTCATTCAATTACAAACTTTCATCTTTATTGGGATGTGCTCTGCAGTATGTACAAAACATACAATTTTCATCATTGTTGTGTTTTATCCTCAAAAAAACATTTTCAACATCATGAGCAACAAAATGAGTTTCACATTCAGCTGCACCATTCTGCTGCAAACTTTGTGGTTTATCGCTCTAGTATGCAATACACCATTTTATAACAAATAAAACAATTAAATATGGCAGATATTAAAATGTGCATGTGCAAAGTTTTGAAATGTTGTTAGAAAAGTGCCACCAAGAGCTAACAAGCAGTGAAGTCTGTTTACATTACAATTTTGTCGCCAGCCAAATGGTAACCTACATATTTTTTTTTAATTGCCATTCATTAATTAAATTTAATAACACTGTTACCAAAATGATTACAATCTAGATGGCTGACTACTCGAAAATAATATTAAAAAACAATTAATAATATGTGGGATTTTTAAGCACTACAAATTCTTGATATTTTGTTGAGTGAGAAAGAGCAAATGAAAATTGGAGAGGGGTGTACTCCCTATAGTGTTCTGCCGTCCTCTGATCGTCATTTTGAATTAATAATTGGTCAAAATACAACTGAGGTTCCCAATTCAAAAACTAACCCCAAATTGTTCTTTCTGACTTTCAAATAGTCAGTCACATGGCTTAGCTTGGTAACATTTCAGGAAATTGCTGTGTCAAAAGTTTTTATGCTCATGTCATGGCTACTCTTTACTATTTGCTAATAGATAAAATTATCAATAATGGTCTAACCAAAAATAAATTTGGCTAAAGGCAGTATTACTTATGTACGATATGCCTAAATTTCATGAATAATAGAATGAATATGCAAATTATATAGTTGTATGCAAATTAGTCACCATATTTGGGCATCTACCCAGAACACTGCTCATGTATAAATATAAATAGATTTAACCAATTTCCTGATACTGTTACATCTAATTTTATTTTTAGATGATGGATGCTGATTATGCTATGTATGTATGGCCGTGTGCTCCTGTCTTGGCTCAGTATTTATACTATCACAGACACTTTATTAAAGGAAAAACTATATTGGAGGTATACATTGACTTTTATTTTCACTAGACCTACTACATTTGACCAGTCACATATTATATGTGGCTATTGAATGTGTCTTGGGTTGGGGGTCATGTAGGTCATCGGCCATTTCCTAATTGATTGAATAAATGATGACGTATAATGAATATTAATGTTGACTTTACAATAAATTACAAAAATGATGTGGGGCTCTGTGAAATATTGTCAGACTGAAAAGTTATGCAATATTAATTAATTAATTGTTGCCCTCGTTGTGTAATATCTTTACTCGCAAGAAAGTTGCGACATTATAAGAAAAAGTAAATACCAGTCGATCTGATTTTCCTTGTCTTCCTAGTGTCCATTGATGTTGTTGTTACACAAGTTTATTCTACATGTATGTGTTGGTTTGTTTGTTAATGATATTTTTATTTACTAGTTAGTATCCATTGTTATCCTTTTGCAGCTAGGTACTGGTACAGCTCTTCCAAGTGTAGTAGCCGCCAAATGTGGAGCTCATATTATCTTGTCTGATGTGGCACATCTTATAAATGCCACTACAAGTTGCACATTAAATGGTATTACTGATTTCCAGGTTGCCAATATTACATGGGGACAGTTCTCACCTGCAGTACTGCAACTACCTAAACTAGACATCGTCATGGCATCAGACTGCTTCTATTCTCTTAAAGGTATCTTTCATTTTCTCTATCTCATGTTTATTCAAAGTGAGCATTTGTTGTATTTTACTTTAATATTTTCCCTGTACAGGGCATGCATGCACTGTTGAAGGTACAAAAGTGTGAGTCGGTTTTTAATTCATCAAAATTACGTTTATATCTAGATTTTGAAGATATTTTGGTGACTGTGAATTTCTTGCTGCAAGATAAGTCAGCAGCTGTGTTTTGGTGCACTTACCAAGAAAGGGAGTAAGTTGCATTATTATGAAACTAAGTATTTTGTGTTCTGGGCATCATGGTAATTTTATGTGTACCCTTAATTACGTCTCGTTAGATGCTGTATGAGATATATCAAATCTGTGATTGTCTGTTGCTATATTTTGCAGCAAAATCTAAGTCATGCACTGCTTAAATTGTCATCTTTCTGATTTAATCAAGTTACTTGTATAATAAATAAACTTCTATTGAGTAGTATTTATTGTATTATGGTGACTTTATCTAGAAAATACAAAACATTTTGCCATTCTGAAATTGTATTTGGTAAAGTCATGTTAACTTCAAATGCATGTCTGCATGTGAATTGGTATTCAATTAATGGCTGTACAGCAAGTTTTTAGAAAATGTGCAAACAAATCATTACCCATGGTGGTTAATCACAAGAACATTTCCTTCAACACAACTATCCTAATGAAACTTACAGGCACATTTAGTTAAACTGCCACAAATGAACAAAACCTTTGCATTTTAAGCATGCGTTATTGAAGCTTAGGACTCAATTCTTGCATGCTTACAGGTGACAGCTCTCCCCTTTAACATGTTATCAGTATGTGAAATGTGTGTTGAACATTGATATGTAGAACAATTATTTATCATAACACTTATTTTATATCGTTTATTTCCAGTTCTGATTGGTCAATAGAACATTTATTGAATAAGTGGCATCTACAGTGTACACATATACCACTGTCATCATTTCAGGCAGATTCCCCATCTGTAGCATCATCTGGTCTCCCTGGTAACCACACAATCTGGATGTTGCAGATAACCACCAAGAAATGAACATTTGATGACTGATGCAGGTGTCTGCTGCCCTCTATGGTTCATAATGAAAACTGCTGAATGTAGAGGAGATTTGTAATATCCTGTGACCTAGTACGTCACATGTCTGACTCATGTGACTTGGTATGTCACGTGACTGTTAAATAAATCATGATATATTTAATATTCTACATGTATTCACTAGCACAATGGATTATTTTTACTCCATGCACAAAGCTATTTATATGTGTCTAGCGTACAGTCTACATGTAAAAGCCTTTGAAATGAACAAACATACATAGTTGAATTCAACATGTAGAGCAATATATATAATCTGATATTTAATGTACAGTTTAATTCAATAAATAAATGAAACAACCATCATTTGGGTTTCTTTACAGTTCATTCTCAATAGATAAAATAGATACGGTTTATGACAGTATTCTCTTCATTTCAGCCTACGTCTCCAATAATGAAAATGTGATTAATTTTTGGCGCCATTGAATTCATACATCTTTTCTCATCAAAAATGCAGATTCAATAGATTCACACCCAATATTCATCTAAAATTGTGATAATTAGTGTTGATTTGTCAGTAACTGATACAATTTCTGTTGCTTAATGTAACATATCATTTATGAATTGTAAAGAACAACATTTTTTTCCATAATTTCTTTGTTAATTTTGATCAAAATTGATATAATTACCTATTGACTATAATTGTTGATTAACCCTTTGAGCACCAAATTGTTTTCTTGCTCATATTTTGTGTAATTCACTGAATTCAATCTTAATTTTGAACCAAACAGACAAAATGTGATGTTACTTTTAGCTTTTGAACAAAAAAAATCATTTTCTCAATTTCTGACAACAGATTCTATGATGTCATACTTTACCCATAATTCTTTGCTGAAGAATCAAGATGGCGGACTACATAAATTGATGAAAAGTTGAATATCTAGAGTATGAAAAGTTATATAAAAAAACAAATTGCTTGTTCTTACATTGGCCAAGCTCTTTTATCCGAAGAATTTAATGTTAACCTTGACTTTTCCTTTTTAACTTGTTGACAAAATCTGAAATAAAATTCGGTGGGTTTATTTTGTGGAAGGAGACAACAGTTGAATTTGGTGTTCAAAGTAATAAAGATGAAGACATTACTTGTTCGTTTGTACTCTCCCAGTAACCATAGAAATGTGTTCATCATATACTAGTAAATCATGTATCAACAATTTTAATGAAAGTAGAAACAAATATCAAACTCCTGATTACCTTGTTTTATGTTTCTGACCTTCTGATCATTTTGATCATCGCAAAATGGTCTGCATAAAATCCAATCAAATTTGCCATCATTCTCGTATCGTGACATCATCAGGTCAACACCTGAATCAACAGTGCTCATTGATTTGTGTCTGAATTGTTTCATTAATTTATTTCATAACAAAATGAGAATTTACTAATTTATTTCAATCAATTATATTATTGTTGGGTTCAATTGTCTCAGGGGATCATACTTTTATTGTATTGGGAGCGTGTTTTGAAAAATTAAATTTATGAGAAAGGTTCTTCTTTGTAGACAAGACAGAATATGATGAAGTGGCTTTTGTAAGTAGCATGTTCCTTTCTTTCCTTTGTTATCCAAGCTGTTAAAAAATAAAAATTACACTGTTATAAATACTTTTGATAGGATTATTCGATACAGTGTACAGTAAATAATTAATAATTGGAGTAAAGAGGACAGTGAATAATGTACATTTCTAGCTGTTACTAATTAATGAAAGCATGCATTCCAATTGTCTGTCTATAGTGTCATCAATAAAACCTCATTATAAGCACAATAAAGGACATTTACATATTAAAGGGATTATCTATGCTTCAGTATGATCCCGATGAGATCTATACGATACAATAAAATACATTGCTCACAGGAAATTTGAAAACTCTCTGCTCAATGAGCATCACTTTTTAAGTACTTGTACGTCTAAAATTGAATAAGTCAATGGCATTAGCTGAAGTGACTTTTAAGGACACATGGGAGAAGGAAGTCAGACCCTAAATACAAATTGGCATGCATATGCCTTTGTACCAAATTTGAGCAAAATTGGTGTGTCAGAGAAATGGACAAGAACTATTGAGCATTAAAACAAAATGGCTGCCAGTTGGTTTCATTTTATAAAAATAATTGATGAGAATATCCAAAATATGTCTTTGTATAGTATCAAATTGAAAAAAATAAATGAGTGTATCTGAGAAATGCATAGGACATGTGAAAAAATGGCTGCTCGAATGCCATTCTTAAGTGAAACCAAATATATATCAGTAACCTGTCCGAGTGATGTTCATACCCAGTTTTATTGCTTGAGAAATGGTGAACTAGTGGTTTTTGAATGCCTGCCAGTCACTCTGGTTCTGGTGAGAAGTTGCCTTCTGAATATTATCTACAGCCAATTGTTCAGTACTGGTAGATAAGGCACTGTATCTGTGGTGAGACAGTCCCCCCTCCCCACTTAATATCATGGATAGCCAGTTGTGCAGTACCAGTAGGTAAAGCACTGTGGATCTCTGGTGAACAGTTGCCCCTGAATATCATGGGTAGCCAGTTATTCAGTACCAACAGGTAGGCTACTGTGGATCTTTGGTGAGATGATTGCCCCCCCCCCCCCCGGCAGTTGTTTAGTACCAGTAGGTTACTGGTTACTGAGGCTTGTATGCAACACAGCATTGACCTGTTCTCTGACGCCTGCAACAAATTTGGCCTTACCATCAGCACTAAAAAAGACTGAGGTAATCCATCAGGCAGCTCCAGGAAAGCCCTATGTTGAACCCAACATCACTATCAACAGCAGCGACTGGGCGCAGTGGACAAGTTCACATACCTTGGAAGCACACTCTCTGGGAATTTGGTTATTGACGACAAAGTCAATGTCAGACTCACTAACGCGAGTGTCGTCTTCGGCAGGCTACACAAAGAATATCTGGAACAGGAGAGGGATTACCACAGTAACAAAGATCAAGGTGTATCAGGCTGTAGTTCTCACTGCATTGCCTTACGGCTATGAAGACCGGACAGTCTATCAGCGAACGTCATGCCAGGAAGTTAAACCACTTCCACACCACCCACCTCAGAAAACTTCTTACGATAAAGTGGCAAGACAGGATCCCAGACTCTGAGGTCCTAGCATTTGCTGACCTGCCTAGCATCACAACCATCCTGATGCTCACATGTCAGATGAGCGTATCCCAAAAGCTACATCAAAGAAAAGGCAGCCAGAAGAAGCATTTCAGGGACATGTTAAAAGCCTTACTGAGGGCTTTTAGCATGGGAGCAGTCGTCCTGAGACAGAGGAATGTGGCACTCAGCTGTTCACAAGGTAGCCTAACCATGCAAGGCCAACATGATTGCTGCTGCTGAAGACCGCAGGGAGGCCAGGAAGAATAGGGCCTATAACCTACTACCTTTTCCTGTCCGCACTGCCAGAGACTCTTAAGGGCGCAGTTTGGCACATAGCACGATCACCCTGACCCCAGGATTACTAGATGGTCCTCGTTGCATTGACGGACGAACAATGATATGGTAGGTAATACACCGTGGCTCTCTGGTGAGACAGTTGCCCCCCCCCCTGAATATCATGGATAGCCAGTTATTTAGTACTTGTACGTAAGGCATTGTGGCCCTCTGAATCGTGATTTTAAGGACAGACTGTCAAGAAGTGATGTCAGGTGTTTCAAATATATTTGAAATATTTTGATCCACATGTGGCACTTGCCAATCTATTCTATGTCATAATCAAATACTTGTTGTTTAACGCAAGTGACATTGATGCCATTTTAGATACTTTTTTTTTACATATATCTTATTTCAGCCCACGAGTGGTTAGGTGCACATCTGTCTACAGTGGCGAGATGCTTTGTAGTGTTCAAAGTTGATGGTTTTTTTTGTGTTAAAGTTGTTCTACATGTATACATTGATACATATGTACCCCAGAGATATGGGAGAGTTTTATATTATTGCAAGGTGCGCCTTAAAAATGGCAATGTTTGAATCATTTCTTTTGTCGTACAGTCTGGTAGAAAGCAGGCCAATACATTCAGGCACAGATCTAATTATGAATCTGTTACCCCAATCTCAAGTTCATTTGGATATATCATACCACGATAATTCCCTTATTGGATTAGAGAAGATGCATATATAAGTGAGGATGTTCATTGGTCGAATACTTTGATCAAAATTCGCAAAGTGTCAACAATACAATAATCAATGTCTGGTTGAGATGTGTCTCTTGTAAGCCAAATATATAAATCACTTAAAGTCACTAAGCGGGAGTTTGAATCTGTCAAAGCAAGCTTCATTAAGCTGGACTGATGGTATCACACATATTGCTATTGCTATTACACACGTACTTGGTAATTGAGTTAGGGTTGTGTTTAACCGTGGCAGTTAACTATTATAACTTATGATGAGAACTGACAGAAAACACGACGAGAGTAATGTTACATGGTTTAGTTCAATTCTATTTTATGGTAGCTATGACAACTAACATGTACCTGTATTCAGTTCATTTTAGTTTCTGACTGAATGTTCTATAATAGAAACATCATCCGGGTCACTTCCACTCGTCTATTAATTCAACCGCTTTATTGTTGGTTTCTTGCAGTTTGACCATTTGGCGGGAAATTAGTTGTTTGTGAGATGTTTACTACGGTCGCATTAAATGATTAGTTGAAGTGATTTACAACAGTACTATCAGAGTAGCCTTCAGTTAACAGATGTAGTTCAAGGATTGCACGAGGTCACGAAGAAGAATGGATTGAGATGGTCATTATCGTAATTGTTTCACTGTAATGAAGAGACTTGATTGAGGTCATAGTTTCAATTGCCACATGGAAAAGGGTTAGCTTGAAGTCGTAATTGTTACACGACTCCCTTAGGAAACAGTTGAATTTAGGTCCCAATCAAAGGTTGTAAACAGCAAGGGAGGGTATTTAGTAGATGATAGAAAACTTCTCCCGGACAATTATCATATTTGGCGAAAAAATTATCGAGGCATCCTAAATCCGCTACTATATACCCGAGCGTATGTATATAACCTTCTTTTAACACACTTAAATGTGAACTACGTCACAAATTAAAACAACCATTTATATCGTCTTGCTACACCTTTCCCTAGATTGCAAGGGATGCTAAATAGCCATCGGTTATGCAAATAATCTATATTCTTATAAATCTAACAGTAATTCTCAATTTTTCAAATATTACAGTATATAATAATTTCCACTTTGGTTTTAGGTTAATTGACTTTAATAGGTGTAGCAAAAATGCGAAATATTCTTGCATTAATAATACAATTTTGGCAAAAATCATTACTCATAGCAATTCAATTATATAATTGACTAAGACTTTGTTTTAGCCAATAAAATAGCTATATTCAGACTAAGCATTTTATACATGTACTGATCCCATATAAGAGATATAAGGATTGAGGTAA